CAGCTCTACACGACCTTTCTTTGCAAAGTTATAGAATTTACAAGAAAAGCCCTAAACGTTCATTGTCAGCTCAAAGCTACAGAAATAAGAAGAAAGTAATTTAGGGCTTTTCTTGTAAATTCTATAAGTTTGCAAAGAAAGGTTGTGTAGAGCTGAGAGAGGTCTCATTTTAATCAGAAATGTGCGGGCTACAATTATGCCTCATTAAGAAATGTTTTGGTGTTTTTTGCAGTTTCTGGAAAACCAGTTTTCCAGAAAGCTGGTCTCTGGAGGCCTGTTGGCCCGTCTCATGTTGATATTCGGAATCAGCATAGTTGACTATCTATAGTCCACTAGGTTTCGGCTCGAAAGCGATTGATCAGTTGGGAACGTTTCCTCGTAAGTTGTACTCTAAAATCTTTTCTTCAGCTCAGGGGCAATCTGAACGACAATCATGATTTCAAGTTATTATTAAAAGACAACAAAGAATAATTATTCAACAATAATAACAACAGCACAAACGGTCAAAAACTCGACATGTTAGCGAGCAGATAAAAAATACTATTTAGCAGATAAAAACAGTAACACTTTAAAAAAAAAGCATTAAACTTGTTCATTGTTCAGTATTAAAACTGTTTATTCTTTTATGTATGTACAATTATTAGTTATTTACTGTTCAAAAATTGGTTTTTATTAATTTTTCTTCATCGTCCGATTTCGATTTAGCAAATATTTTTCCATCTGGATGAGCTATAATTTCGTGGAAGAGTGATGTTCCTCTTATACTTGTTAATAATGGTATTTGTTGTCGAATAGCATCAATATCTTCTTTAGCATACAAATAAAATCGAATACTTGTAGAATTTTGTACATTACGCATCAGTTCACCAGCATTTTTATATGTTTCATCTGGATGAAAACGTATAATATCATCGAACATTCGTTTCACCGAAGCGCCGATCGCATCAGCCACCCCCTTTCCATGGCCACTTTCAAGAAATATCCAACGCAAAATGTGAACAACTCGGTAGAGTTTTTTTGAACTTTCTCTATCAACTCGATGGCGAGGTCTTTGTGGACTGAGAGGTACCACAGCTTGGTCGAAAGTTAGAGAATTAGAAAATTTTGACTTCTACGTCGTATATTTTAAACGGTAGCCCAACTCACAGGACTGAAATTTTTATCATCGATGCAGTCCTTGAGGTTCTATTACCAAGTAGAGTTTAAGTCAAGCCCGTTATGAAATTACAAAGAATGGAATTTTTTTCAAGTGCTCTACGAACTTCTCTTTGTACTCTGGAAACGAGCATTTTCTAGAAAAGTGCTCTGTACGAAATTATAGCCTAATATTAGGACTTTCAGAATATCTATTCAGTTTTGATCAGACATTTCTAAGTTACTATCGTTTTCAAAAAGCAGTGCCCCTGGTTATTTTTTGAATAACTCAAAAGGAATAAAAGATAGAGGCCTGCGGTTTTCAGCTTTCGCTAGCTAAGGCCTGAAGCTATGTTTTTAAATATCGCCGTCTATTGCTCTGCTAAATTAGGTTTGAACGGTTTTTATAGAATGAAGCATGACATAGCTATAGATCCAAGACTCACGATATAGAAAAGTAGGAACTTCCAAAGACAGATTGTTGAAATTTTCTTTGAGGTTTCAGAAAGTGTAACCACCAGCTCCCTGTTCAGTTTACTTTTTTATCAGTAACGTTTTTCGGCCTTCTTGATAGAATGGAAAAAACTGCGCTTTGATTACGATGGTTGTATAAAACTGAATTTTTATAAAACGCACTATTAAATATCACTATCCATGTTCTGTCTTGACTTGAAGGGAGACGCTAATGTTCCACAACCTGATAGACTGATCAATGCGATTTCAAATGCAGAAAGATTTTACGCAAAACCGATAGTTTTCCATGAAACTACGGAAGATTTCATGAAAAGATCAAACCCGCGATTAAAACTCTGCTTTTTTCGAAAAGCTCCAAACCTAAAATATCATCTTCCACCCTGAGGATTCCGTCAAAAGATTGTGTGGCGCATGATTCTAATACGAAATTTCAGGCTCTTCAAAATCTACGCATCGGCTTTTCTTTATCTTGTTGTGCAAACTCTGCTGATTCAAAAAAGTGATCTCCGCCTTTGAAAGTTCCTCCTTTTCTATATCGTGACTCACTGATCTATAGCTATGTCATGCTTCACTATATGAAAAAACCGTTCAAACCTAGTTTTGTAGAGCAATCGACGCCAATATTGACCAAAACAAGTTCAGTCGTTTTGCTTTAACAAGAAAAAGAAAATGGCTATATTCCCAGACAAAAAGCTAATTGGCCAAGAAAAAAAGACAGAGCACATTTTCTATACAGAAGCGATCTTTCGAGTTTTCGACCAGGTCTCGGTAATTCAAAGTTGTCAGTCCAAAAACTTGATGAAATCGAGCTTTAAAAGTGATACTGGAAATCAGTAGGTCCGCCTCTATTAGAATATGTGTTTTTTAAAGCAAAAATAAGAAAGCGCACCTTAAAACTCACTAAATTTTTTTTATAATCACAGTTTGATGGGCTGATTCCGAATATGTAATAAACAGTATAGGTTAAAACTTTTTCTGTTCTGGCTTTGCTCAATGGCTGTGGCTAGCTACAACGTCTCTTACATGCTCACCTTTTGCAAATTTTTGGAATTCTTTATCGATTGCATACAAGCCCGCTAACAAATAAGATGTCAACTGTAATTTTCCACCAGCTGGTATTTTATATAAATATGCTTATGTGAACATGATCTGTCGTGTAACTTGTGGATATAATCCAATTTTCATAAAATTATCGCGATACGCCTCAATTGTAGTCACTTTTGGCTGACTAACAAAATCAATTAAGGCGCTTTTATGAAACAGTTTGAAATCAACAAGACGTGACTTTGGTAACACGCAATATATTTTTCCACGTGTCGCACCGAGTAACTTTCCAAAAGCCAAAATCAAAGTAGATAGCGTATCAAACTTAGTTACTACTTGATTTTCATAAGAGTCAAAATTATTAAATTTCAAATTCGGATTTGTAGCTTCGTCAAAAAGATTTTGGGATAGCACGCCTTCATACTGAACGGAAGTTTCAAAACGATAGAATATATATTTAACAGTTTCAATGAGACAAATTCCGTCTGCACTACGCTCCTGTAGCAGAAAAAGAACCCAAGTTATACGGCTTTTTAACAACCAAAATGTAACAAGACTTTTATTATTCTCGATGTTATTTATCTCAGAACTTGCAAAACAATGCTGGCTGAGTTAGAGTCTTCTTGGTTCTGGGCACGCTAAAAACCTTATTTAACTTGAGAGCCTTGTTAAAATGTTTTTACTAGATACTTGTTACTCTGATTGGTAGCTATTAGCGTATCGTAACTGACCAAGCAGTTTCAGCAAACGTATTCTGACAAACTACTATCTGGCCCAAAGCAGAAATGAATCGAATACTTTTTCTTGCAAAGCTTTTCTTGTAAATCATATCTAATTTATGATAATCATCGTCAATGTGAATAATTGCTAGCAAAATCAAGGCTGTTCAGTGGGGGAGGTGATGGGAGGTGAATTTCTTGTGTAGAAACATGGAGTTCTTCACCAAGAAGGATGAATTTCTTGTGTACAAACCATCGCGTGTTGCAGGAAGAAAGATGGAGTTCTTGTGGAGAAACATCCACTTTTTGAGAAGAAAGGTGAAATTCTTGTACAGAAATCAAGTATTTCGATTATAAGTGATTTCGGTGCTTGAACAGTATAATGTCGGGTGCAATGTCGGGGGTGAAAAGAATTTTGGAGCAATGCAGTTAGAAATGTAGCGGTGTCAATAGACCAAAACGCCAAAAAGATCCGAACGTCTACTGCAACAAGTCGTTGAGGTTTTCAATATTTCTTAAGTACAGACTTTGACATCAGTTGGGGTTTCTTTGTTCGCACCATTGATATAGTTTTTTTTTGTTTCAGATTTCTGCATCCTGAGTTCTTTATCGAAACTCTTTTTCCAGAAACGAGAAAGGGTGGGAGGGGAAGATAGTTAAAAGTTAAACTAATCATTTCGCATAAAAAGATAAGTGTGTTAACGGCAAAAGGTAACTCGTTGAAAGCTAACTTTTTTTTTCCGCACCAGCTGAAGACCTGCGGTTTTCACCGTTGAAATCAGCGCGCAAAACTGCATCAGAAAATATGATTTTCATAGGGAGCGCTAACATTCAAGAGTATAATCATATAAAAACGTTGCTATCACAAGGCTAGAGAAAATTTTAAAGAGCAATTCGGATGCCCGTAAGCATTTTTTCGCATATTTTGACTTTCTCGATCCTTCCTGAAATACTTTTCCTAATAATTTTGTTTATTTCGTTAAGAATCAACATCAGCAAAGTATGGACATAAACCTACGGGGATCGTCTCGTAATCATTTAAAGTGGTTACATAATTTCGAACAACGCCCAACGGCTCGTCGGAAATCTACCATTTTTCACTGTCCGTTCGTTCTTACATGTTATCTCAGAAATTTTTACTTACCCTAGCGAAAAGTGACCAGTTGTGAAACGATGTGACAGACCTTCGCTAATAACCTTCTCTACCTCCGCTCGTCCACGAGCTTTCCAAATAACGCCTACAATTTGAAAGTATTTTACTAGCAAAAGAAAGAGGTTTTGTAGCTGGCTCAACAAGTTAACCACAACCTAATCTTTCCGCGTGCGAAAGAAGTAACCCCAGATCCCGCAGGCTTATAAGACTTGAGCCTTACCCAACTGTTCGGCGTACGAGGAAGGGACACTAACTGGCAAATTGCTTTTGGTCTAAAACTCAGTGGACAATAGGTTATCGACTATGCTGATTCCGAATATGACAATGATTTGGGGTGATAGGCTTTTGGAGGCCGGATCCCTGGAAACCTGTTTTTCCAAGGCAAAACATTTTATTGTTCCAAAAGCATTTTCCGACTCTACCACATGACAGAGCATTTCGCGAAACCTATAGAAACACTTTCCAGAAAAATCCAAGGTTCAGCCTCCAAAAACTGTCTGAAAACTTTCGGAAAATTTTGAAAATATGTTTTTTATAGCTTTCGCGAAATGCTCTTTCATTCCGGCTGAGTCGGAAAATTTTTTTGAAACGATTGTACAGTTTTTCATCTTCGATTTGAAGTTAGTGATCAGGGGTTTGCACAGATCGACTGAATACACGAAAAACTGACTCCCTTACAAAAATCAGCGATGTCTAGGCATGTTCTGTATCCCAAATGAATAGGGGAAAAAAGTGCGTTATAGCGTAACGGTATTTTAATTTGGTTTTTAAATTAAGTAGAGCAGATAACGTCTGGATCTTATCACCATTAGATAGGAAATTTCGTGCTCTACAAAACTGCTTCAGATCATTTTTTGAGTAGTCAAGAAACTTCGAAGGAATTCTGAGCTTTACGACAGGCACTGGAAAAAAGGGCTTTTTTCGTTATAGCGTAACAGCCCATTCGGCCTTGGGGCACGCGCATCTTTTGCCGTTTTTTGAAGGGCGAAACAGCCTATCCGTTCACTTTTTGGGGTGCCGGTGTTTTTAAAAGTTCCTTGTCAGCAACCGCGAAAAATGCGTTTTGGGGCGCCGGCGCTTGAAAACGTTTCTTGTCAGCAATTGTGAAAAAATGCGTTTCGAGAAAAGACGCGTTTAAACGCTTTTGAAAAATTTGGCCAGAAAAAAAACGCGCCTGCGCTAATGACGCGTTTCTCTTCGTCCAGCAATATACTGGAAAAAATATCACTTTTCCACCACAATACGACTTATACTTTCAGTTTCACTGTAGAAATGAAAGGGCCAGTGGAAAACTTTTATTTTTCTGTCCTAAACATTACATTAATGAGTCATTTATATTCGGAATTACGATAGAATTCCGAGTAAGCCAACAATCTTAAAATGTCGACATTTACAAAAAAAGTTGAATAATTTCAGAGCAAAGGTCCTCCTGAGAGATAGAGCGGAAGGGATCTACAAACACATTTTCTGATCTGCAATTGGATGATGATCACTGCTATCGATGCCAGAATACGCAGAAATACTTTCGTATTAAACCATGGCTCAACAAAAATAGTAGTAGTCAAAAGCAGGGTTTTGGGGCTTTGAGCCTAACTGGCATTAACAGAAACTCTTTCACTGCCGGAACGAGTTATTGGTTATACTCTCCCCTAATGTATTAAGATCAGCTCGATCGGAGAGGATCTTAGGTCAAAACCGTCTACTGTGAGTAGTATCTCGGCCAATGCCATCAAACAACAACAAACAAAAATACTTCGTCAGCAACACAGAAGGGCGTAATTGAGTAACAAAATAATCAGTACATGTTTTTTTTGTTTTTTTTTATAAGCTTTATTTATTTTATCAATAGAGAATTAACATTCACTTGTGACAAGAAAAGAGGGAGTAGATCCCTATTATTATTCTTATCACAGAGTGATCGTACATTGAACCTGTTTATAAATGGTAAACATAAATGTCAACAACAAATAAGAGAATGAGAAAAAAAAAGAAAAAAAAACCAAGAATAACAACTAATTTTC